TAGTTAAGAAAAAGATAAAAAAAATCAATTATATATTAATGTTTATAGCTTGTCTTAAAGATCAAACAAGGTAATTTTTTTTGTTTATATTATATTAATAAAACTTTAATATATTAAATAATAGTGATAGGCAAGCATAGGATTCCATGCAGGATTCATCATGTGATGTATAGGATAATTTGAGACAATGCCATAATTCCAGCTTAAACTTATAGTAATCTTGATAACAATCTGTAAATCTTATATGAATTCCATATAGAATCTATATATAATATATGGGATTCCAGAGGAAAAGGATATTGGGCTGATCTAATATACCAATGGACTAGTCATAAGTCCTACTGAGCTATCTGAATTGGGAGTTTGATGAACCAGCAGAGGTATACTAAAGTATTTCGGATATGCTGTGAAGTAGATGCTAAGATTTGTGTGAACTCTACAAGGGCATAGTGGTTTAATGGTCAGCCCTGACCGCAAGTGTTGGTTCTGCTATAGCGATACCTAGGTCAGCTGTAAAAATGGGTACAGAAGGCTCTGGGAGGTTTACCTCAAGGATAAATTAGTCCTAAGGTTGAGGACAATAATCTGGTACATCTGCAATAACCAGTAATGTTAATACAGTTTACAGGTTCAGAGGGTTTAAAGTGGAACACTCAAACAGGGATGTTAGGTATGGCAATTGATAGGGAACCTTCAGGTGAACTCCTTAAATAGGTAATATAGAAAAGTTACATGTGTAGCCAATTGTATGCTTTCCTGTAATGGTTCATTGAACCACATTACCAATAAGTAATTAATAAAAGTCAAAAAGACCAAAGAGGTTACCTTAATACTAAAAAAAAAAATAATAATAATACATGAGATTTTTTGACAAAACTGTAATTTGCTTATCTTTATTGAATAGCAATATGTGTTACTATTAATTGATTTTTTTTTTAGTATTAAGATGATCTCTTTGGTCTTAGTTTTTTATTAATATTTATATCAAATATATGTTTTATATAAACATATTCATATTGAACTATTAGACAAGTATACAACTGGCTATATATATAACTTTTCTATATTACTTATTTAAGAAGTCCATTTAAAGGTTTTTTACCAGTTGCTATACTTAACACCTCTGCTTAAATGTTTCATTTAAATCCTCTAATTAGACCCTAATATTAATTTTATCAGGTCACAAATCTAGATCTATTCACTTTTAACTATAAGACTATAATCTTTAGACTATTTTTATTCTTGATGCAAACCTACCAGAGTGAGCTGTATTTTTTTTTATTGCTAATCTGATTTGATGCTATGATCAAGACTAATACTTGCAGTCAGAGTTATCTATTAAACTGCTATTACTCTTATAAAGTTTATCTAAATCTTGATACTTATCTTTTTAACTTCTTCTTTATTATCTTCTATTAGCTGCAACTTAGAACCAACAGACTCTTCAGACTTCTAATTCAGATGGCCTAATATGGTATACTTATTTATTTTTTTTCTTCAGTAATTCTAGTAACCTAATTAGTTATATGCTTTTCTACACATTTTGTTATTCAGTTTATCTAACAGTTTCTGTAAAGGTGTTTTATAGGCTTTTATCAGTTTAATAGTATTATCAAAAGTTTATATTATCTCTTTACTTAGAATTTTTAAGTAGTTTTTGTCTTCTCAGTTTTTTAGCCTTCTACATCTGATGGTCTTATTATAGATTTGCACCAAAGCCTTATAAAATACCAGTTTTTTACATTCTTCTATATATGTATAATGTTATACTTTGCATAAATGCTCTAAGCTTTTAATGCCAAATAGGACCTGACTTGGTGTACTTAAGATTATAGATGCCCAAAATCCAACTAATCAGCAAGAAACAGTTATCATAACACAGATATAATTTTTAAAATTTATTATTTGTGAGAATTAAACCTTAGATCTGCTACTTGAAGATTAACAACCTATTTTACTAGATTGCACATCCTCATTGCTATTAATTGATATTCTATATATTAAATAACATATATAACATATTTTAGATATATAAATATTAATCAAATAGCAAAATTAATATATTAAATTTTTAATTTATTAATTATATAAAAGTTTAATTTTTTTATTTATTTTAATAGTTAACTGGCCTGTTGCATAACATTCTTAATACAACTATAAAACCTAATTACAAACATCTTTATCGATCATCATATACACTAATAGTATACTAACCTGATAATATTTCTGATTGAACAATAAGTAATGTTGAAAATAATAAAAGTAATTATAGTAATAAGAATAAGAATAAGAATAATAAAAATAAGAGTAAAAAGAAAAAAAAAAAGAAAAAGAAAAAGAGAAGAAAGAAGAAAAAAAAGAGAAGAAAGAAAAAGAAGAAGAGAAGAAAAGTAGTACTAAAAAAAGAGACTCCAAAAGTAAAGATAGTGAAAATAGTGAAAAAAAATAAAGATATAAAAAAAGAAGTAATAAAAGACCTGCTTTTGATTTTGTAGAAGAAAGTTAAAAAAAGTAAAGGATTTAATATTTTTTTAGAAAAAATTTTTTTTATAAATTTTATATTAATTTTTTTATTTTTTTAATAAATAATATATAATTTATAGCAAGTTTCAACTGTTTTTTATTTTATTTTTTGGTGTTAAGATGATTTCTTAGGTCTTTTGACTTTATTTAATAATAGTAAATATGGTTCAATAAACTACTACAGAAAGAGCATACAATTGGCTATATGTATAACTTTTCTATATTACTTATTTAAGAAGTCTGCTTGAAGGTTTTTTACCAATTGTCATACCTAACACTCCTGCTTAGATATTCTACTTTAAACCCTCTGAATCTGCAAACCTGTTAACTTCATTAGATTATATCTGATGCCCAGATTATCATCTCAATCTTAGAAATATTTATTTTTAAAATAAACTTCTCAGAGCCTTCTGTGTCTATTTTTATAGCTAACTTAGGTATTACTATAGCAGAACCAATATTTGTGATCAAAACTTAACTATTAAACCACTATGCTCTTATAGAGTTTACTTAGATCTCAGCATCTACTTTACAGTTTAACTCTAATACTTTAATATACTTCTGCCTTTTTATCTATCTTTTTATTAAACATTTAATCCAAATAGCTTATATAAGACTACAACCAGTTCATCAGTATATCAGATCAGCCTAATATCCTTTTCTTTTAGTTTATTCTAGCAGCCTGATTGGTAGTACCTCTGAGACTCCCAACCTGAAGATTCTTGCCTATCTAACTACTATAACTAAATATTATGACCTTGGTATCTGTTTTCTCAGGCTAGTCTTTACAGTAAGACCATCAAAGATTTAGCTACCTCTCTATTTAGATCTTTTTAAATGAACTTCTTGTTATTCAATTTTAATAAATTTATATAGTCACAAGAACTTATCTAGTATTTATATCATCTGATTTGTTAGTTTGCATTTTTCTGTATAATGTTATATTTATACAAATGCCCTATGCCTGCCAGTTATGCTAATATAACCACTATTACAAGTATTCTAACTTAATTATTAGTAACAATTGCTATAATATAAATATTACATAGATGATTATCCAAATTTTTGCTATTGATAGAATTTGAATATCTCACTTACCACTTGGAAGGTTGACAACCTGACTACTTTACTAGGTTACTATACTCTAGTTTAAACTGTTTTTAATAAATTGCTTTAATTTATATATATAGCAATATATATTTAGTATAAATTTTGCTTTTTAAAATTCAATATTTAAATTCTAAATAATCTAGATTTGCTCAAAAATTAGATATTAAATTTTACATATTTAAGTTAAATGTTATTAGTAATTGACTGCTGATTATAAGTTTAAAGTTCAATTTATTATTTGTTTATTTATTTATCTATTAGATATCCAACTTAAATTTATTTAGATATTCATTTAACTATTAATATTTAAATAATTATTTAATTTTTAAATTATCCAGATACTAATAGTAAATGGATATCTGAATAAATTCAGATATAAATATATAGATAAAGGATTTATCTAGATTAGAACTTTATATAAGTTAATTTATTATATTTTCTGACAGTCTATTAAAATGACCAATTTGGTCTAAACTTAATTATTGTTTAATTAGCTGATTTATACTAAATTTTATTTGCAATTAACTGTTAATTAGCTACCAATTTGCTTTGTTATTTGTATAAATTAGTAAATAATTAATAGTTAAGTTCAGAATGAATCAGCAATTTTAAGCAGTAGTTATATTTAATTAGTGTAATAAAACAAATTTGTCTAAATTAGTAAATTTGTTTGCAAATCATTACATGATTTTTCTGGCAGTTAAAATTTTATAATAATAACAATAAAACTTGTGGCTACAATCTTATACTATAGTTATCTCAAAAACAAAATGATAAATGGACTCTATTAGCCTATCATTTTAACTAAAATTCAGCTTGGCTATATTTTAATTATAATCAAAAATCTACTCACAACTTTACTAATTTTAAACTTAACTAATCTAAATTATTTAATTGAAATAACGTTTCGGAATGAGAATCAGTTTATTAATAAATTATGATGCAGATCTCTACTAAATAATATCGAATAGACTTTTTTTAGCTCAAAGTCAATGTAATTTTACGACTATCAATATAAAGGTAATTTCGTCATATTTTAACGCACTAGAGTATGAATAGTAACATGGATAAGTTTTATAGCATAGTGATCATTCGTTAAAAAGTTTCATTAGACATGAAGTGGCATTTGTGGTCTGAAATTAAAAGCTGATCATATAAATTGCGATTTCAAATGGACAAATTCATCCAGTATTTACTTTTTAGTTCCTATAAAGACGTTCAATAGAACTTATAATTTGTCTTATTCTTTTTTATAGCTCCAAAAACTATGTAAAAAGCTGGTAGGTGAGCGAATACGAACGAATTAAATTGAACTCAGAAAAAAAAAAATTGATCTAAAAAAAACTGGATAGGTGAATACAACGAAATCAGAAAGCAAAAGAAAAGAAAAAAACATTATTTTCATCTAATTCTATACTACCCGTCTTATTGCAATTATGTACAGTACTACTCATCGAAAAGCCTTTCTCCAAATTAGTGTCTAATGCAGTTCTTGTGGCCTGTGCCAAAAACATTTTGTGGTACCGTGATATCCATCCTTGAATTGTTGAGACTTTTGGTATTTCTTCTTGCTCCAACTCACCATTATCTGCAAATTCTTTCAACCTATTATACATATCAGTAGCTGTCATCTGATCTTTAGCATGAATATTTCCTTGCAAGAACATTTGTTCAAGTATTTTTTTAACTGTATTTGACATCCGTTTGCCTCCACCTTGATTTTTATTTATTGAATTTTCGTGCAATGCCCATCCTTCATTCCAAGGAAAACCAATATGAGATATGTGTTCTATGATTATGCAAGTACTTTGCTCTATATTCTCTATATTCTTAATATTTGTTACTTAATAAGAGGATAGTGAATACATGTTACTAACTATAATACTTACCTTCCTTCATATCATCATCTCTAGTTGTATCTATAGAATTATTTTTATATTTTATTCAAATAATAAAAAATTATTTTATAATAAAATATGTTTTGTTACCTATTATCACAATATCATCTATATCTGTTATGCTTTGGTTTTGGTTCTCTATGTACAAAATTTGTATGAATGTTGATGCTAGTTATACATATTATAATTTCTTACCTTGGGTTTTTGGTAAAGCCATTATCCACTTCGATTGTGGTTCAGTATGAGTTGAGACTTTGGATTCCAGATGATGAAGCTCTTCATTACACAAACTAGTAATTGCAGCAGGAAAAAAGTAAGCTAGAGTACCAAAGTGTGGCAATGGACATGCCACAATGTACTCTGCCAATGGACCTGCAATTGGCTATTGCCAATAGTTATATTTGGATATTCCAGCTATAGTTTCTACACGATTTTTTTTTTTTTCCATTATTTTTAGCAACTAAGCTTATATTTTTTTCTTGATTTCGATTAGGTTCAATGTTTGCCAAGTGTGTGCCTGCTAAATTATGTGTAGCAGTTACGATATCAGATCCTTCTGTTACTTCATGTCTAATATGAACATATCGTTTAATAGCATGAGTTATCTAAAAAAGAAAAGAAAAAAGAATAAAATATATGTATTTATTATTTGTTATATTATGTTTTATGCTTATTATTATAAATGAATGAAAACCTACTGTAGTGTGATGTGAGTCTATTGCAGTCTTGGCTTCACCAGGCTCCAAGAATAACCATTCACGGACCTCGACATTATACCAATCAAACTATTGAGCTACGATCATCATCAACTCACTATTATGATAGTGTGGTCCATTATCTGAAATTATTTTTATCCATTTAGGTTTTTTTTTAATATCATTAAACATGGCTTCGAAACAAGATGCTGTAAACCAAGCATCTTGTTTCGTATCTGTGGACCAATGATCATAGGTGCTAATATTTAAATCTGTACAATTATCTTCTTTAGTTATTACCAAGATCATATGTAATGTCTAGCCTCTTTTACCGAAAAATTCTTGTTTAGTTTCCCGTGCAGTTTTTGGAAGAATTCGCATCTTATAATCCACAATCATAATAGCACCATCTGAATCAAGGCTTGCTAATGATGCTTTGTATTGTGCATTTAAATAATGTTTTCAAGCATGGTGAGCAAGAAAATATTTTAGTTTTTCCTGCATTTCTAGTAATTAGGAATTATCTACACTAATATAGCTTTTTATAAAATCAAAAAAATTAGAAAATTCTGAACAATCTTGACAACACAAATTATGTGTTTCTAAACACTCCCCAAAGGCAAATGGCAAACAATGATCAATGCAATTATTATGTATCATTTTTCCATCTGGCTCAACTCTCAAATGGCACTCAAAATTTCTTCTTAAGTGGTGACGTAAGTTCTCAATCCATGATATAATAGGATCCTTTCATATAATATTAATAATTTATTTTATTTGATTAGAGTTAGATAGGTATAAGCCAATATAAATCGATATTTTTACATTTCTTTATTTTTATTATTTTTTTTTTTATTTTTATTATTTTTTTTTTATTCTATTTATTTATTTATTTTATTTTTATTTGTCTTTATTTTTTTTCTATTTTTCTTTTTTATTTATTTCTATTTTCGATTTATATATTTATTTTATTTTACTTTTTTTATTTTATTTATTATTTATTTTTTTATTACTTTTTTTATACTTACTAATGTTTCTTTTGCTATAAACGGTTGTCGTGCAAGAGCTAACAAATTTTCAAAGATTTTATACCCGTATTCATTACAGATAATGCAGAGTCCTCCTAAATCTTCACAATATCTAATATGGTTGCAGTTAGATAATCTAGTCATGAAAGAAGTTTGATGCATTCCGTTTGGATATTCTTCATTGAATTTTGTCCAGAGGGTTTCTTTTTGATCTTGCATATATAAAATAGGAACTCCAGTTTTGGCATCAGTTTGATAAAAACTTTGTGCAATATTATTTTTATCTTGAAAAAATGCTAAGAATTGCTTTTCTTTAATTTCAGCTAGCCTTTAAATACACTTTTTTGGTCCTTCAATTTGTGGTGCACCAGGTCTGTATAATCGAGAATATTTACGTGCCAGATTTATTCCATTTGCACTTACCTAGTTATAATATTATAAGTGATTTTTTAGTAATTTTAATATCAAATTTTAAACTAACCCGAAGTTTTTTATAGAGCTGCAAAGACTTAAACTGATCCGCTATAATAGATAAGATTTGTGTTTTTCCATTTTGACCACATTTATTGCATGTCAAAGCACTTCGAAAGCTATTCTAAAAAATATCTTCATTATTAGTAATAACATGATCTTCTGAACTATCTGAATATTCTAAATCAGCTTGTAAGTATCCTTGTTCATACAACATTTTCAAGTTAGCTTTGTCAGTATTTGGGTTATTTGATCGACTCCAAAATTCTTTTTTATTATTAGATTTAGAATATGGCATTATATTAGTGCATCCGCATGCTTGTAACATTGCTCTCCAAGCTCGAAATTCTGCTTTATTTAATTCATAGGTAGGTGGATATATTATACTTAGTGCATCATGAAACTCAATTATGGAATTTTCTTGCTGCATCCAGGTAATAAACAATTTTGGCCAATTAACTATAGGGCTAGTTGCAATTTTGCATTTTTTTATTTGTTGATTGAATATTATTTCTATTTTATGAGAATCATTCTACTCTTTTGAAGTGCAAGCTAGATTAGAAATAGTTGTATTTTCTTAAATTACACTTTAAACCAAGGGGTGATTGAAACTGAAGAGCATTGCACCATCCACATGCATTGTAATTTCTGCTTGAGCTTATACATTATTAGCTGATTTATCTTCATAATGCCATAATATTTGATTACTTTTATAAAAATCAAGTGTAAATACATCATTGGTTATTTTTTGTAAAGCTAGGATTCCTTTGCTTTTTTTTGTTAGTATTGATGATGTAAAGCTTTTATTTCCGATTTCTGAGACCACAATGACAAAATTTTTGATATTTAAAAAAAGCAGCCTAAATATTATTCCATTTAGTAATTTATGCACTATTTTTTCGTCATTAAAACCAAGAAGCACAGGTCCGGAATATGCAGTTTTCTTTCCAAAGATCACGTGATAAATGCTGTTAATGGTCTGGGAAGGCATTAAGCAAACTTTGCTAGTTTCATTACCACTAATGCAAATAAATCCAGGCTGTAATTGATTTGTTTCACTTTTAACTACTCTAATAAAAAATTGCCGTTGGTTGAGCATAAAACTAACATGCATATATAGTCGGTATGGGACAGAAATAGAGACGTCTTTGTCATTAAACAGTCAGAGTAACCACCAATCATGAGCATAAGGGTTGTAGTGCAGTTCTAAACATATTATGCCTTCTGCAAGCAATGAAACACTATTACAAGATGAGTTATTCATGGTTTTATTATACTTTTAGAATGCATTTTGACATTTACAGCTGTGAATTTTTATATATTTAAATGCATATCACATTTTCTTATTTGATGTCGATCATTTTATCTCATTAGCTAACGGATTTGCAATTAAAATTAAAATACTTCTTAATGAACTACCTACTCAATACCTTTATCATAAAATCTATTCTTTAACCTTTCATAATGCCAATTGCTTTTACTGCAATTCAATTATATTATTATTATATTGGTATACTTGTACCAATTTCTCTTTGCTTAATAGCATCATTTCTAATACAATAACTAACTGTATAAACTTAGCTAATTTAGACTTATCTAACAATAAAACTAAAGAACTTATTCAAAAAATTAAAGACCATTCAGCTTTTAAAAAAACATCTCTTTATTTATCTTCATACTATTTAGAAATTACTTTTAAAAATCTTATTCTCTTATTTCTAATTAAAACTATTCAGAATCTAGAAGTTTTATATAAACTAGCATTAACAATTACAATTAATATTCTGCTTGAAATTAACAAACAAATCTACAAACAATCATAAAAACCCCATTGTATCAATTTCTTAAATTGAAAAAAATAACAACAAATAATATATATACATACCAATCAACAAACTCTATTCTTCTACAATAGAAATAATATACATACTGTCAAAACTTTATATATTCCTGTTTTTGTAATCAATCTAACCAACTCTACTCATATACTGGAACCTGTTTACTTGTTAGATAGGCTTTAGAAAAATTAGTACTTGGGCCACTCTGTGGGTTAAGTATTACATAATTTTTAACTTTATTTTAACTATAAATGATATTATCTAAGTGAGTTTCTGACCACTTTAGTAGATTTAGATTGCAGATAAATTAGATTTATTTAATTGTCTGAGCTTTTATTCTTGTATATAATTTTTCTTTTATTTGTACTAGTACAAAAAGTAGAAATATATGTACTGCACATATGTTACTATTTTATAAATTACTTAATAAAGATATGAGCAAGACTTCATCTTAAAAAAAAAAATAAAATAAAGCTTGTAACTTCTAAATTTAAAATATACCTATTGTTAGAGTTTTAATTATTATCTATCTATTTATTTATCTATTAAATACTCAATTTGAATATCTATAGAAATTTGATTTATTATTAATATCAGTTATAGATAAGAAATAAATATTTGAATAAATCTGATATAAATATATAGGTAGCAAATTAGAACACTATATAGTATATATCTAAATAAATTGTTATTATAAATAATGTATATTTATATAATACTGCAAAAGAAAAATATATATATCAGAATTTAAATTATAATTTTTTTTTTTTAAATATTAAGGTGAGTACTTGTAACCCAGAATTTTATTAATAGTATATTTGGCTAATAGTTGCATTACAACTACAGAAAGCAACTATGGAGAGAGTGTACAACTAGTCATTCGTACAACTTTAGTTATTGTCTAATTTAAGTAGTTCACCTAAAGGTTTTATACTAGCTGCTATACCTGGAACTCACTTGTAGGTTCCTTATTTAACTATCCTGTTTTCATATTCACCCACCTACTTCTGCCTACCAATAATCTCAGCCGATGCCAGTGAAAATGTATTATGGCTACTAAGTTTTTAAAACAGTTTACTTATATGGGAAACCTTTGACCTTGTACTAAACCTTTTAGAATTTTCTGTATCCCATTCTTACAGCTAACCTAGTATCACTATGACCAAGACCAATACTAGCAGTCAGAATATACTATTAAACCACTATGCCTTTGTAAAGTTCACTCCAACTCTGGTACTGACTTCACAACATATTCTTACTATCTTGGTATTCAATTTAAGTTCCACCAAGCTACCATTCCAGATAGCCTAGAAAGGTAGAGCAAGACCATACCTCTGGTTTATATGTTTGCTAGCATGTATCTTTTTTCTCTAAAACCTGAAAATTCCAACAGCCTGGTTGGTTCATCTAGCCCTCCTTAAAGATCAGCACATTTGCCTGGTTTTACAAGTTTTAGCTCTATTTCATAAGTCTAGTCTTTACAGTAGCATCCTTAAAGATTCAGGTTACCTCTCTACTTGGGTCTTCCAAGTAGGCTTACATCTTTCTACCTGGTTCTTGTGATTTACACAGTCTAAGAACTTATCTTGGGTTTACACCACCTGGTATTAGTTTGTGTTCTCTTGTATAATATTGCATAAGTGCCTAGACCTTCCAGTCATGCTAGTATGATACAGATTACAGATATCCTATCTCAACCAATCACAGAAGACAGTTAGCCATAACACAGAAAGAATTGCAAATTTTTGTCATTACTAAAATTTGAACTTAAGATCTGCCACTTGGGGGTTGACAACTTATTCACTTCACTAAGTTGTCATACCTCTATTTAAATCATAATTTACTAAACTCATATTATACTATTAGTACTAAAGTTATTTTAATTTAAATACATATTTAAATAAATCAAGTATTTAATAAATAAAATATGCTTATTTTCAACAACTCTCCTCTGTAGATCTCTCAACTGAAATTTACAAAAAGCAAAAACATAAAATAACATTAAAACACATAAGCAAGCAATATATAGAACACTAAGAAAAAAGATAGAAAACATAAAGATACAGCTAACCAACTTAGAAACAAGAAATAAACTAGAGCAGCAACAAGCAACAACAAGAAAACCAATTTTTGGCAAACTTCAATAAGCAAAATTAGTATATAAAAGTAAAACAAAACAGATTGGATAAACCTACACAAAGCTATTAAAGAAAGGTTTAGCATAAAGAAATACAAGCTTTCTATCAATACACCAAAATAGATATAGCATTCTTTAATAAGGTTCTTAATTAGTTTTAACCTGACTTAAAAAGTTTGCAAAATTTTGTTATTATTTTTGGAAAAGTGAAAAATCACCCTAGATCCTAAAAACAAACAGTCAGAACACGTGATCAGCTAACAACAAAACAACAACAAACACAGTATACTACACAAATGACAATACTATTCTAATTAGGAAATAATAGATAAAAGTTTTTATATGTACTGCTAAGCAAATAGAAAAACAATAAACTAAAATAGAAACAGAAGTACAGTGAAAACTAGGCCTTTCAGATAACACAGAATTAATACAACATATAAAAGGTTTTGGTGATAGAAATAAAAGATACATAGACAGCAAAATATTAGATAAAATCTTATCAAAGAAAATAGATAATCTTAGCAATTTAGAGTATATAGTGAAAGATCTTGCAATTTACGACCCAAAAAATATCACAATAGATAATATACTTCTTTATAGGCAAGTACTTGAAGCACTCAAAAGAACAGAGACCTTTTTATTAACAAGAAGCATGATAGAAAAATGGGCAGGTAAGTTTTTAGCAGTAAATCAAACCCCAAAATTATTTAACTACTTGTTAAGCATGAAAAGTAAAGAAATATCAAAAGAAGAAGCAGAAATAGAAGGAATAGAAAGAGATAAAAATATAAAAAACATGGATATAGTCTATGTTGAAAAGAAGAGACAACAATATGAAATGAGCAGTAATGAAGAAGCCAGCACAAACCTAAGTATAGTTATCAACCAAATGCAAGATCTTAGCATATCAATATTATCATATAAAGAACCAATTGCATCAGATTTTTTATAGCAAACAAAAAGAGAAAAAACAGTAGATAAAAATAAAAAGAGTATAAGGTTAATAACAAAGAAAAATTATAAAATGCCAATACTTGTAGACACAATAAAATAGAGCCAGTAGTCTCCAACAAATCATATATGTGACAAAAGCAAATCATTCAAAGCAAATATGCCAACATATGCAATACTAGGTGCAAATAAAGAAGAAAGACTAAAATACATACAATGGATCTTATGTGATAATCATCATATTAAAACAATTAAAGAGGTTTTCAAAAACAGGAACAGTTGGATTGAGGTAGATTTTGACTGTGAATTCAGTAGAGATGCAGCAATAAATAGAATCAAAGAAAAAGAAGCTGATTGGCTTAAACTAATTCTAGAAGAATCAAAAAGTCAAGAAAAGAAACCAAGCTGCTATACAGTAAACAATAGTAGAAAAGACAAGAATAAATTCAAAGAATACAAAAAAATTAATGAAAAGGAAGATGATAAAAATACATACCTAGC